AAAAATCTAATAATACATCTTAAGAAACTAGAAAAGTAAGAGAAAACAGTAGACAGATCACCTAAACAAAATTAGTAGAAGGAAAGAAATAATGAAGATCAGAACAGAACTAAACAAAAAGAGACTAAAAAAAATACAAATGATCATCAAAACAAAAACTTAATTTTTTTTGAAACGATAAAATCAACAAATCACTATCTGGACTCACCAAGAAATAAAGAAAAAAGAACCAAATAAATAAAATCAAAAAAGTAAAAAAGGAGACATTAGATCATTAATACCACAAAAATAGTAATAGTAATAGTTCAGAGACTACTATACACTATTACACACTACAAGACTAGAAAACTTAGAGAAAATGGTTAAATTTCTACATATATATATATATATGTAACCTACCAACATTGAATAGGAAGAAATAGAAAACCTTTTTAACCTTCTTATAAAGTGTCTTAATAAAGAAAAGTCCAGGATTGTATGGCTTCACTGCTGAATTCTAAATTTTCTAAGAAGAGTTAACACCAAATTTTCTCTAAAACTGTTCCAAAAAGTTGAAGAGGAAGAAATTATTCTTCACTGAATGAAAAATAATTCAAGAAGAACCAGACAAGGCTGCAATAAACAAAAAAAGAAAAGAAAAAGAAAACAGTAGGCCAATATTCCTGATGAACACAGACACAAAGATCCTCAACAAATTACTAGCAAATTAAATCCAACAGCATATCAAAAAGACCATACACCATGATCAAGTGGGACTTATTCCAGGGATGTGAGGATGGTTCCACATACACAAATCAGTTAACTTGACACATCAAATCAACAGAACAAAGGACAAAAGCCATATGATCATCTCAATAGATGCAGAAAAAGCATTGATAAAATTCAATATCCCTTCATGATAAAGACTCACTACAAATGAGGGATAGAAGGAATATACTTTAACATAATAAAGGCCACATGTGAGAAACCCACAGCTATCATCATATTGAATGAGGAAAAGCTAAAGCCTTTCCTCTAAGAACTGGAATAAGACGAAGATGCTGACTTTCACCACTCCTATTCAACACAGTACTAGATGTCCCAGCCAAAGCAATTAGGCAAGAGAAGGAAATAAAAGACATTCAAATTGGAAAAGAAAAAGTCAATTTGTCCCTCTTTGCTGATAATATGATCTTATATATAGAAAAACCTAAAGACTCTACCAAAAAATCTCCTATATCTGAGAAATAAATTCAGTAAAGTTGTAGGATACCATATCAACATAGAAAAAATCAGTAGTGTTTTTATATACCAATAATGTACTAGCTGAGAAAGAAATCAAGAAGGCAATCCCATTTACAGTAGCTACAGAAAAATATCTAGCAATAAATTTTACCAAGGAAAACTACAAAACACTAATAGAGGAAATTGCATAGAACATGAACAAATGGGACAACACCCCATGCTCCTAGATCATAAGAATTAAATTATTAAAATGATCAGCTGTTGAAAGGAATCTGAAGATTCAATGTAATTCCTATCAAAATGCCAATGCCATTTTTCACATAAATAGAAAAAAAATCCTAAGATTTATATGAAACCAAAAAGCCAGAATAACCAAAGAAATCCTAAGCAAAAGAACACAGCTGGAGGTACCACACTATTTGACTCCAAGACAGCATGACTATTTGATTAACACAGTATGATATTGGTATAAAAACAGACCCATAGACCAATGGAATAGAATAGAGAACCCAGAAATAAATCCACATATTTACAGCCAACTGATTTTTGACAGTACATCAGCAACATACATCAGGGAAAGTATACCCTCTTCAATAAACAGTGACGGGAAGATTGGCTATCCATATGCAGAAGAATGGACATATGTCTCCCATCACCTACAAAAATCAACTCAAGATGCATGAATGAAACGCTTTAATGTAAGACCTGAAACTATAAAAGTATGAAACAAAAACCTAGGAAAAACTCTTCTGGACTTTGGTCTAGACAGAGATTTTATGGCTAAGACCTATAAGGTACAGGCAAGAAAAACAAAAATAGACAAATGGAACTATATTAAACTAAAGAGCTTCTACACAGTGAAAGAAACAATCATCAGAGTAAAAAGATAACATGTTGAATGAGAGAAAATAGTCACAAACTATTCGTCTGATAAAAGATTAATATTCTGAATATGCAAGGAACTCAATACTAAAAAAACAAATAATTCCTCTGAAAGGCAGGCATTAATAGACCTTTCTCAAAAGGATATTAATAGACATTTCTCAAAAGAAGACAAATGGCCAAGCATTATGTGAAGAAAAAAATCTCAACATTACTAATAATCAGGAAAATGTAAACAAAAACCAAAATGAAATATCATTTTTATCCCAGTTATAATGGCTAGTATTAAAAAGACCAAAAAATGCTAATGAGGATGCAGAGAAAAAGGAACTTTATACATTGTTGGTGGGAATGCAAGTTACTACAACCACTAAGGATAACAGTATAGATGTTTCTCAAAAAACTACCATCTGAACTACCATATTATCTGCAATTCCACTACTGGGTATTTATCCAAAGTAAAAGAAATATATATATCAAAGGGATACCCACACTCCCATGTTTATTGCAGCACTATTTGCAATAACAAAGATACAAGTTTTAATGTCTGATAGCAGAATAGGGTGACTATAGGTACTAATAGTGTATTGTATATTTCAAAACAGGTAGAAGAGAGGACTTGAAATGCTCCCAACACATAGACACGGTAAATACTCCAGGTGACAGGCACCCCAAACACACCATTTTGATCATTACACTGTCTATGCATGTAACAAAACATCACATATGCCCCATAAATATGTTCAAATATTATGTACCAATTTAAAACAAAAAGAAATAAATGTGAATGATCAGAACTTCATTTTTAAATTCATATACATAACAAAAATGGTCTAAGAAATAGCACCAAAATACTAAAGAAAGTAGAACTTAAATGAGATAAGTTTGGGGAGCCATATTCCCTTCTTTTTTCCGTTTTCAAACTTTCTAGTATATAGTTGTTTTATTCACCATAAGTAATTGGGGGGGTTTATTTGTTTTTTTCTTTTTATATTCCAGAAGGTATGAAATCTTCAAATTCTTCCCCCCCCTCCGCCCCGTCCATTACTTTGAAAGTGCTCAAATTTAAACACATAGTGGATATTGTATTCAATGACACAGAGGCTAAGAAATAAAGTGGAGAGTATTTCCCTATACTCTGCCTTCCTTAGGCCTCAGGAACATTAAGAGAAGCAATACTTGACATTAATATATGCCTTTGCTAGACATTCTTCTAAGTACTTCACAAATATCAATTCATTAATTACTCACAAGAATCCCATGAGATAGGTATTATCATATTTCTTTTATAGCTAAGCAGATCAAGACACATAAAGATTAGTTACTACTCAACATTATCCAGCTAGTTAGCCACAGAGCTGGGATTTGAACCCAAAGAGTATGGCTCAAGGGTCTCTGCTTTTAATTACTCAAAAGAAGGATATTGGAAATAGCCAACTAACTATACAGACAGGCTGGCAGGCATATAAAACCCATACTGGTAGTGAGGGCGGGGGGCTGCGGTTAGCACTAGAGAGACAGAGCTCAAGGATTCCTAATGTTAAGCCCCTGCCCAAATGGAAGCCCCGATCCCTGGCAGCATTTCTTTCTGAATGAATGACAGAATGGCAGCTAAAATGTGAGCAATCACTTCTGCATAACCCCTGGGTCAGCATTAGAGAGGGGTTAGAAGTAACACTTAGCTCAATATGAAAAGTCTGAGTGAGCTAGATGCTTCCATAAATTGTCTCGATATTTCCTTGGCCTAGTGTTCCTACAGCAGACATAATGATTGCTTCTCCCATGATAAACTGATTTAGATTACAAAGCTCAGCTTTTGCCTAGAATTTTAGACACCTCAGGGCTAAAACAGAATTTTCATGGCCATCTAATCTAGACCCTGCTTTTTCTTCCACCCCTAACATATATACACGGATTTTTAACAAAACAGAATAAAGACCTGTTAGAAATAGTAAGTGAAATACCAGGTGCACAGAAAGGCAATGGCGCCCCCCTATTAAAAGTGACTAACATAGAGAGCAATGACATTAAGTATTGACTAAATATTGAATTATTCTACCATTGGATATGACTGATGTTTTTCTGTAATCTACATCTTGAGTAATTATTAGATGCTATACCTGGGCTCCTGATCGCTGGTATCTCAAGCTTTTAATTCATTAGTTTCAAGACTAGGAAAGAGGCTTTTCAACCATCCATCCCAAGAGTGGATCAGGGTTATTCTCAAGTAGCCAGGAGTTCAATGCAGATAGTCTAAGATACTTCTCATAATGGAGAACTCATGACTTCTAAGCTACATCTGAAATGACTGTGTTCTATCAGCCTGTACTGATACAAACTCCTGCCTTCAAGCCTTATCTAAGAGAGTCAGAAGCTCTGCAATTAAGAATCTACCTCTCACTCCCTACACAAAATATCTCCAATTTTTTTTGATGAAAAGCTCACATCTAACACAGCCCAATCAGATGAGAGTGGGAGATTCTCTGATATTCTTTAAGTTAAAGATGTATGTGTATATCCTTGACCCTAAAAGACGTAGGACTATTTTACTCTTCTTCTATGAAATCTATTCCTAAATTTCAATTTCCCTTTCACCTTTATCAATGAAAGAAACCATGAGAAGTCACTCTTTTCATTTTATAGGTGAGGCAAAGAGGCCAAAGTAGAAGAAGACATCATCCATCAAATTGGTGTCAATGCTGCTCCTGGTTCTCATGCCAGGGTTCCTTCTGCTCTACTTTTCTCAACTTTTTTGTGGCATAGAAGGGGATACTGAGTAACCATGAAGCTCACAAAGAAGCAGAAACTGCTCTAGTCATTTTCCCTGTCTCCTCCCTGCCCCTCCCCACACCCTTTGTCTGAACCTCCCCCAGTGGAAAGACATGGGCTCTTACTCATCTCCATGTATTCTGGAGTCAGTCCTGTGTATGGCTCCAAGCTGTAGTCTAGGTCCCACTGCTCTGGGTGTTTGGAGTGGGCAGAGTTCGTTTCTCCAGGTTCTGTCTCATCTTTCAGTTTTCGAAATAGTTTCTTTAGCTTCCTAGGAAAGAAATAAACCAGTCACCAAAAACTTCTGAAGAACAGGGTTAGTTTTTCAGACAAAAAGAAAGAAAAACTAAGCTTTGACACTAAAGACATCTCTAATCCACAAACAAATAGAGAGATACTAGGAGACTATTTTTTTCCTAAAGACAACCCAAGGAGGTTCTTTATGAAGATAATAAAAGATTCTCCCCACAAAAGATTGGGTTTCTTCAAACCCCCAAAACTTTCATTTTCTTGCAGTTTGATAAGAAACAACAGAGTTGATTCTTCCTGCCAAACACTGAAACAGAGCCAGCCTTATTGTCCATAAGGTGATCTACCCACCCTCTTCATGGACGAAAGGTGTGTCCAAAAAGTAGTAGAAAGATTCTCTTCTTCCAGGCCACACATTCTTTGGGTCTCAATAACATCAATACCACCATCTTTCCATTAAAACCAAACTAAACATTGCCCATCGCTACTATGAAATGTATTGTGTTCCTCCCTAATTTGCATGTTGAGCCTCTAACTCTCAATGTGACTATATTTGAAGATAGGACTTTTAGGAAGTAAATATTAAATGAGGTCAAAGGAGGAGGGGCTATGCCAATAGAATTGGCAGTCTTATATAAAGGGAGAAGGAAAGAAAGGGATCTAACCCCCAGATGAGGACACAGAGGCAAAGCAGCTACCTTTAATCCAGAAAGAGAGCCTTCACCAGAAACCCAGCCATGCTGAACCTTGATCTTGAAATTCCCAGTCTCCTGAACTATGAAAAAATAAATTTCTATTGACTAAGCCCCCAGTCTTTGGTATTTTGTTATGGCAGACTGGATAGACTAAGACAACCACAATTAGGAATTTTTTTTGTCTAGACTATTAAGATGATAATGACCCAACGTCTCAGTGTTTATGAGGTCCTTAGCATAATGTCTAGTGAGCACTGAATAGATGATAGCTATTATTTTCAATATGAAATGCTAAAATATGCCTTTTCAAACTTCCCATTGACACACAATGTATAGAAAATAAAAATAGGTGAAGAAGCAAGGTGCCAATTCTGTTAACCAATCTAAGAGAAAGTTTCTAGGAGATAGCTGAGAGTACTAATGGTAGAACTGTTAGAATCACAGACTTAAAGATTTTAAAAGGGATTTTGAAGTCCATGCTCCACCCATATATATGAATCACCTCCTTCCCTGCAACATTCTTCACCCCAGACCATCCAACACCCATAAAGATCTTTCCAGAGGAGCACTTTTTTAACAGTTAGAGGAAATACAATGATTCTAAGTAACATTCTGCAAAGAGTCTGGTCTAAAATCATTTGCCATCAAGAGGATATAGTATAGTATAGTAAATGAAAGTCTAATCTTTAGTGTCAGAATGGATTATGTAAAATCATGTTTCACAATTGGCCAATCATATTTTCTTAGTCAAGTTATAAAACTCTATAAGCTTTAGTTTCCTTATCTTTAAAATAAAGAAATAAACATTAACTTACCCATAGGGTCCACTAAAAGAGATAATCTATGTAGCAGGCTTACTTT